AAGTGTATAGAAACAAGTAGTGAACTGAATACTTTTTATATTATGAATAAACTGACTGCATGCTTACCCCTCCAAACGAAAGAGCATGAAAAAGCTCAGGAACAGCACTGCTAAATTTAATTTGTTCATCTTGCGAAAGTCTGCCACATAATGAAAGGGCGTGAAAAGGCAATTTTCTATATATTCCGTGCGTATACACGGTAATTAGCCATTTCCCAAAGTCCTGGATCTAGTCGCGCCATTCCCATGTTGGAGGGACAAGAAATATGGCAGCACACATTTAAATTAAAAGTACAAAAATACATCGATAAACTCTTGCAAAGAATTTCATTGCTGCTTGTATAACTAATTGTAATTGCGAACTTGTGGTAATTCAAAGTACAGACATGCTGTCTGTTGGAATTTGGCTTTTTTCCTGGCCTTTCTCTGAACAAAGAATATTAAGAACAAAATACTTAACTCTTTTATTTATAAAAAATACATAAGCTTTTTATTATGTAACTACAAGAGCTAGGAAACCTTATGTTACACGCGCTACCAGTTCTAAACTCCTCTCCCAAGAAGTCCTGCAGGAAGGGGAATCTTTCTTTGGTCCAGCGCTACATATAGTACAAGAGAAAACCTTAACTATACGTTTATACTAACTAATTCCATATACATGCATACGTCTATATTTATCACAATTATAAACCAAGAACGCCTGCTTGCTGGGTAACTTTCAGTATATGCAAGTTGATCAAAGTAATCAACAATATAGAAGCTGCCCATGACTTTAAAACATTTTACTCGCGCATAATGTGATATATTTATTTAGTTTATATATCATACTCCAAAGACGAAGAAAAAAATATAATTAGCCTACTGAATTTTTATATCTCAAGTTGCCGAAATTTGGAGATAAAAAGATAGTCGCTTCATGCAATATCTGATTTTTTTTTCAATCTTAATCGTATTTTGCTTTTAAATATAATTATTTGGTTCATCCATGGTAAAAGACAATGCACAATAAGATCCTCGACATTCCAGGTTTGTGTGGTAAAAATAAATATCATTATAGGTTTGTTTAATTGTTGCGATACGTTTCTTTGTTTGCCTGGTTTTGGCGCAGCTAGCTTTCGATCCAATTCCGGTCTTTATTGGTGCTAGATAATAATGTTTGGTCAAGAGCCATGCAGACCTACGGATCTACAGCTAGTAACACAACATAAACGTGATGTTTACCGACAAAAATCAAGGGCGATCAATTATATATAATCTAATGTAAATATTTGGGCTACAGCGACTTAAAACTTGGCCTCATTCCAAATATAATTTGTAATTATAGAAATGAGAAAGTGTTGAGTGTGCTGTTATATACGTTTCGTTGTGTTAGTGTATGAAATTTGAAATTTGTAAAATTACTGGCGAAAAGAACAGACAAATTTTATCCGGAGACATTTCTCAAATTGAACTTTTTCAGAACCCCATGGCCATCTAAACCATACGCAAATTGAATTTACTTCGTACCTAACACAAAAAAAGAATATTAAATCTGTTTTGTATTGACTCAGATTCGGTTGAAATTGTTGTCTTTGTAATGCATTGGCAGAAAGTTGTTAGAAAGATTCGTGTTAGATAGCCTGAAACAAGAAGTAAGCATGGGGTGAATAAAATTGGCCACTATACAGATGATCATCTACTCATTGATGTCGTTTATATAAACGAGTATCTTTATGACATTCAGTATATAGTTCGTAATTTCCAGTCTTCAATTCGTCCTGAACGTGTAGCTCAATTGGAAGAGCATCAATCTAGTAACTCGAAGGTCGCGGGTTCGAAGCCCAGCCGCGGCAGGCAAACTTTTCTGCCTGCGCGCTGTCTGCTAATTACAATATATCTCACTCGAGAACATTTCATTTTATATATATATATATATATATATATATATATATATATATATATATATATATATATATATATATATATATATATATATATATATATATATATATATATATATATATATACACGCGGTATCTCTGCAAAGAATTTCAATACGTCTTGTATAACTGACTATAATTGCGAGCTTGTGCGAGAGTACAGACATGTTGTCTGTTGAAATAGTGTTTTTTACCTGCCCTCTTTCTGAACAAAGAAATTAAAAACAAAATACTTAAGTGTTTTATTTATAAAATACTTAAGTGATTTTTACCTGCCCTCTTTCTGAACAAGAGCTAGAAAACTTTCTCTTACATGCTACCAGTTCTATATATATATATATATATATATATATATATATATATATATATATATATATATATATATATATATATATATATATATATATATATATATAATTAACGTTACAAATATCTTAAAATAACATGTTTTTTCGCTACTCTGAGTTTCACGATCTTGTTTAGTCTTTCAACCAAAAACAACCCGTTTATATATATATATATATATATATATATATATATATATATATATATATATATATATATATATATATATATATATATATATATATATAT